GTCAAAAAGTGAGCAGGAACCACCACTCACGGTCTGTTACCATCTCTCTGAGGCAAACAGCTGCAAAAATAAAGAAGCAAATGAAATCAAACGAAAAAGAAAAGAAGCCTGATGTGCTGCAAACCTTGACTCCATTTCAATGAGAGAAAATATAAAAAAGATACGATTGGGCTCAGATGTTTGAGGCGGAAAAGGAGCCGAATTAGCAAAAATGCGTCAAAAAATACGTCATTTAGTCAAAACTCCAGCAGAAAAGTGAGCAGCAACCACCACTCAGGGTCCGGTACCGTCTCTTTAAGGCCAACAACTGCAAAAATAAAGGAGTAAATGAACTCAAACGAAAAAGAAAAGAAGCCTGATGTGCTGCAAACCTTGTCCTGCAAAGCGCAGTCACTACAACGCACCCTCCTCCCCCCCGCGGGCGCCGACCACCCACAGGCCCCCGGGGGCCAGCACCAGGCCGGAGACCCCGGAGATGAGCCGGACCCGGGAGGGGGACCATCGGGAGGGAGACCGGGGCCTGGACCCTCCGGACAGACGGAGGGAGAGGCGGGAGCGGAAGGAGGAGGGAGAGAAGAGCTGCTGGGATAAGACCAGCAGGAACCAGCTCACTGCAGGAGAGAGATGAGAGGAGGAGGGGAGGGGAGGGAAGGAGAGGATGAGGACAGCACATAGGGGGGGGAAAGAGGACCAGAGGAGAGGAGATGGAGAGAGAAAAAACAGGAAAAAATATGGATCGATAAGACTGAAGAGAGGACACAAAGGGCAGAACAGAGTAAGGAAAATTGTGTAAATACAGGAGAGAAGTAGTAAGACAAGATCACAAAATGTCAAAGGAACTTTTTTTTTGTGAACAGAAAGGAGGAAAAAGAGGATTTTTTTTCCAGGATTCCCCGATTGTCCAATCAGAACCATCCATCATTTTCCATACTGCTTATTCCCAGTGGAGCCCTACAGGCAAGAGGGGGGGGTCAACCCTGGACATGTCATGATCCGATATCTGGATTGGATCGGCCGCTGACATTCGCAAAAAAATGCGTATCGGCCAGCAGGTGAAAATGCTGATCCAGACTCCCGATCCAGTTTTTTTTTTTAAAGTCTGATCCCACACAAGCATTAGCATCAGCATCTCCTAACCCACAGGTCTGTGTCCTAACCATTAAGTTGCTATCAGAGTAAATCCCTGTTCAACATGAGTCTGACAACTAAGCAAGTAGATAAATAACTTTAAACTTTAATACATGCTTTGATAGGCCAGGAACCTTAGTCTCCAATCCACCACAGGTCCACACAGAGACACACAACCACACACCCTCCCATTCCCCACCCCGAGGGGCAGTTTGGAGCCTTAGAAATAGCCCAATGTTTTTGAACTCGGGACATGCAGATGGAGGAGAAAACACCCAAACTCCACACAGAAAGGTCCCGATTCCCCCGGGGACTCGAACCGGCAACCCTCTGGATGTGGGGCAACGGCTCCTAGCACCACACCCCCCCCGCCACCCTCTGACCAGGCACCTTCCTGTTGTGTAAGACTCTGTGTGTGTGTGAGAGAGAGTGTGAGTGAGTGTGAGTGAGTGAGTGAGTGTGAGAGTGTGTGTGTGAGTGTGAGAGTGTGTGTGTGTGTTTGTGTGTGTGTGATTCTGTGTGTGTGTGTTTGTGTGTGTGTTAGACTGTGTGTGTGTAGGTGTGTGTAGGTGTGTGTGTGTGTAAGACTGTGTGTGTGTGTGTGTGTGTGTGTGTGTGTTACCTGGTATCTTCAGGCTGAGGTCACACACACTCCCGACTCCGGCCACAGACGCGGCCTTCTGCTTCCGCGTGATGCTCTCCCGGATGCGTCCCTCTCCGGTCACCCGCACCGTGAACGGACTTCCTGTTGACCGACAAAATGAATAAATAAAATAACCGGTTCCCTGTGGTCTTCGGGGGCCCGGGGCTCCCTAACCCTAACCCTGACCCTGACCCTAACCCTAACCCTAACCCTAACCCTGACCCTGACCCTAACCCTGACCCTAACCCTGACCTGGGACGTGCTCGTCGGCAAAGCGGACGGAGACGATGTAGCTGCCCGGCTCGGTGGGGCAGTAGCAGACCCCACAGGTCCCGTCCTCACGGTCCTCCGTCTGGATGTCCACCTTACTGGGGCCCTCCACGGACAGAGCCAGGCCCCCATAACCTGCACACAGACACACAGACAGATTTGAAAAAAAAAAAGACTAATTCCCATGAGTTTAATAAGTGGAAAGAGAGGTGCTCCCTTAAAAACTGAGGAGAGAAATTTAAAAGAGTTTGGGATGACGTTCTAAGGTACTTTTCTAACCCCCATTGATCCCTCTGGGTATTTACTGCTACTTTAAATGAAAGATAAGGAAAGCTAGAAGAATTGGACATCCGGTCTTACAGCCTTGTACATCCTCTTTTACTTTGAAGACTTGTCATTACGGGTACTTTTGTTACTACGAGGGTCTTTAACAAGATTTGAGCATCCCCCCCCCCCCCTTCTGTTTTTCATATTTGTTTTTCTTGTGTCACTTCAGTTTTCAGTTTGTTATTAGACTTAGACATTAGACTTAGACAGTACTTTATTGATCCATTGGGAAGACTCCCTCAGGAAATTAAGGTTACCAGCAGCTTACAGGGCAAAAAAGTATGAAGTTAAATTAAATTAACATGTAAATAACGTCTTTAAAAAAAAATATTCTATTGAAAATGCAAGGTTTGCAAGGTTAAAATGTCTGGAACGACCGGCCTCTCGGGTGTCGACCACAAACTGGACATCCAGTCTTACAGCCTTGTACATCCTCTCCTACTTGTCATTACTGGTACTTTTGTTACTACGACGGTCTTCAACGAGATTTGAGCTCCCCGCCCTCTTCTGTTTTTCTTATTCATTTGTTTTTTTTTCCTTCTGTCACTTAAGTTTTCAGTTTGTTATTGTGCCAATACTCTACAATTCCTACGCTCACCGATCTCTATGCTGCTCAACAAGTATATAACTTCCTTTTTTAAACATTGTATTGAAAATTCCAATAAATGCTTTTTTTTAAAAAGGTTAAAAATGTCTGGAACTGACCGGCCTCTCGGGTGTCGACCACGAACTGGACATCCAGTCTTACAGCCTTGTACATCCTCTCTTACTTGTCTTTTTTTTTTTTCTTCTGTCACTTCAGTTTTCAGTTAGTTATTGTGCTAATACTCTAGAGTTCCTACACTCACCGATCTCTATGCTGCTCAACATGTAAATAACTTCCTTTTTAAATTTTTTTTTTGAAAATTCAAATAAAAAAATGAATAAAAAAAGGTTAAAACGTCTGGAACTGACCGGCCTCTCTGGTGTCGACCACGAAGCAGGCGTTGGTGAAGGTGGCGCCCCTGACCAGGCCGTCTCCGTGAGCCCTGACCCTGCTGGCGTCCCCGATCTCTGATTGGACGACCACGATGGTGATGGGGCTGTTGGCCACGTGGCGCCCGTTCTTCAGGATGCTGACCTGGTGCTCGCCCACCTCCCGCGGGATGAAGGAGATGCCTGGGGGGCCGAGATAGTAAATAGAAATTTAATAGATAGTTTTGAATGATTTAATTTCAAATAGGACTTTTAATTAAGGTTAAATAAATAGTTCAGTAAAATGACAACTGGTTAGATGCAACAGAAACGAGTCTACCCCCCTTTTTTTTTTAAATTTGTGTGTAGAAGCATGGATGCGTTTAGCTCTGGACACAAGAGGGAGTGAGTGTGTTTGAATATACAGTAGGGGAAATAAGTATTTGACCCCTTGCTGATTTTGCCCACTTACAAAGAATGCCTATTTTTCCTCATCAGATGGTTATCAATTTTTATAAATTCATATGATGTGATTTTCTGGAATTTTCTTTGGGATTCTGTCTTTCACTGTTAGAATGTACATATGATTAACGTTATAGATCGTTGCATGCTTTGCAAGTAGGCAAACCTGCAAAATCAGCAAGGGGTCAAATACTTATTTCCCCCACTGTATGTGTGTGTGTGTGTGTGTGTGTGTGTGTGTGTGTGTGTGTGTGTGTGTGTGTGTGTGAGAGAGTCTTGTTTGTGACAGAGAGGGTTGACATAGGGGCCGATATTTTCTGTTGACCGCAAAGTAACAAATCAATAGCCAAAGTATCTTTATATTCAATGTACAATATTGTCAACGTGTATTATGCCACTCAAGGACATTTTACAAAGACGATCGTCAATAAAAACAACATTGAAACATAAGAAAACATACAAAATCATAAATACATCATAAATAAAAACATGAAATGAATAAAAATGGAATGAATAGACATAGCAGATGGTTGTATGGTCTTGTCTTTTTTTCCCCCTTTCTCTTTCCATCTAAAGGATCTCTCCTTTCCACTGCTCTTCTTTCTTCCCTGTCCGGTTCGGCATTATTAGACACATGCAAGTTTGGTAACTAAATAATAAATAAAGCAGTTTTGGGTAATCAACGAGGGTAACAAATCAATAGCCAAAGTATCTTTATATTCAATATACAATCTCGTCAACGTGTATTATGCAATTAGAAAAAAAATAAACACCCTTCAACCTGTATTGGAGCCAAGTTTCATCATTAGTCAGCGAGTCATACAGAGCCCTACGTCCTTCCCTCAGTGGCTAATTTGGAGTGCGATAGTCATCCTACGTGTTTTAGAGAGGGCCTCACCGATGTGGTTGTTGGCCATCCTCTTCAGCAGGCAGGGCTCCTCGCGGCCCGACGGCGCCCGGATGCTGGCCGTCAGCAGGCTGAGGTCCGTCTCGTTGATGTCCAGAGAGAAATCGGCGGCCGAGCCCAATTTGACCTGAGAGCGCCGCTGGTTGTCCTCTGGAAGAGAAATGCAGCCCCCCACACAGGTTATCCCAAACCGTTATTCATGTGTACACACGTTCATGTATCTGTGTCTAGATTAGTATAGAATTGCGTATAGTGCACAAGCCATGTGCAGTTCTTTATCCATAACTTAGTTTTTTACTATTAAATTCTAAAACCTTTAATGTAAATGTATATTTAAAAAAAACAAAACAAAAAAAAACAAAAAAAAAAAAAAAACTTTATACTACCGGTTGTACCATACAAGAATGTGTCCACAATTTAGTTATTTACTATTAAATTCTAAAACCTAAATCCATTTTTACGAAGAGAAATCGCAATAAATGAACTCCTGGAACTAAACGTTTCTGTATTAGATATAAGACGCCTGTGTTTGGGTTTTTGGGGGTCTGCCCACGTATCTGTGTCTAGACTAGTATGTTATTGCATTTATTGTACAAGCCATGTGCAGCTCTTTATCCACAATTTAGTCTTTTACTATTAAATTCTAAAACCTTTAATGTAAATGTATATTTAGCAACTCATTTTGAAAAAAAAACAAAAAAACTTTATACTGACGGTTGTACCATATAAGAGTGTATCCACAATTTAGTTTTTTTTACTATTAAATTCTAAAACCTTTAATGTAAATGTATATTTGGCAACTAAATTTTTTTTTTTTTTTAAACCAAAAAACTTTATACTACCGGTTGTACCATATAAGACTGTATGCCACAAAAAACTTGATTTGATTCCAAACAGGTTTAAGCTACTGCTTTGTTTCCTTTGGCCCTTTGTGGGGAGAGAAGGACAACCTGTGTGGGCTGTGGATATAAATCACATTTAAAGCCCATAAAACCAGAGAAATCTGCTTTTTTTCCATCCATTTTTACGAAGAGAAATCGCAATAAATGAGCTCCTGGAACTAAACGTTTCTGTATTAGATTTCAGATGCCCACGTTCCCCCCTTTTTAAACACATTTGGACATGAAGCATGTGATCTAAAAGTCAGACTTGTGTTTAAGTGTTCAATTGTTTAGGCTTTTTTGTAATAAAGCCACTATCTTGTTTCATTATTCTCAGCCCTCCTTTTAAATAAAGTGTGCTGAGCAGCCTAAAGCCTGGTGACACAGGTTTGATTTAGGAGGCTTGTGGAGCATCCCTGATTGATTATCACGCTCGTTTTATGGTCAGTTAGTGATTGAACGCACGGGAAACGGGGTCAGAGAGGCCAGACATGAGAACAAAGTCAATGTTATTATCAGATTTTGGTAAAACTGGGGGGTAAAAGACTGAACTGTTAAGGTCATAGTGCAGCTTTAATAACAGGAAGGCTGGAGATCAGCCAGGTTGGTTTTTTTTTAACTCATTGACTGCCAAAGACGTCTATAGACGTCTTTTATGTTATTCAACAAGAGTGGCTTGGGGGACGATCTGCTAAAGCTTGTCCGTAAATATCAGGCTTCTAGACAGAGTATGTAGTAACAAATTGACCCTCTAGGGGGCAGTGCCACTTTTGGTGGGAGATGAGCATAGACTGTAGGCAAATAAGAAAAAAAAACGCAATGGTTCGCTATGCGAGAAATGGCGCTGGTGAGACGCAAGTTGAGGAAGAACAGAATAAGGTAGAAACAAATGTTTTTTTCCTGATGAAAGAAAAGAGTTTACTCTTTCTTTTGGTGTGTTCGGTGTTTACATAGTCATAGCACAAACTATTCTGTGGCTCTTGAAAAAAATCAGTCAAAATGCTCAAAAAACTCTGGCAGTATGGGACTCTCTGTTCTGAAAATGGCTGGCAGTCAATGAGTTAAATGCAGTTTGTGTAGTTGTTTTATTTTAGAAACGGGTGTGAGGCTGAGGTGTGTGTGTGTGTGTGTGTGTGTATTTCTGACCGGTGATCCTGGCTGTGAAGGGGCTGCCGGCGATGTGCTCGTCGTTGTATTTGACCATGATGTTGTAGTCTCCCGGCAGCACGGGGAGGTAGCTGACGCTGCAGGTGCCGTCCTTGTTGTCCACGCAGCTGATCTCCGCTTTGGACGGGCCCTCGATGGCCAGGTCCAGCCCTCCTGAGACCCCAGAGAGACCGGAACAAACCCATGAGAAACCGTGCATTTCGACGAGAGCGTAAGCCTCATTTATAGAAATTATAACGCATTATTCTAAGTTTAAGACATATTTTTGTTCTTATTTGTTTGTTTATCAGTACCTTTTGAGTTAGACATACTTTGCCAATAATCTAGGCTTCTGTAGTGGAAGGAAGTTCATGTTGTTATGGAAACAAATATGTAAAAGTAGCAACGGCAGAGCAATAAGGCTGTTTTACTGTCACAACGCGTTAAAACAAGTCTCCTCTCGAGTCTTCCCTGTGTCCGTTTGCAGGAGCTTCAGTTTCCTTTTCAATATTATTAATTTTATTTTTTAAAAGCGCCTTTCATGCCACTTAAGGACACTTTACAAAGGCGATCGTCATTAAAACAACATTGAAACATAAGAAAACATACAAAGTCGTAAATAGATCATAAATAAAAACATCATGAATGAATTTTCCCTTTCTCTTTCCATCTAAAGGATCTCTCTCCTTTCCACTGCTCTTCTTTCTCCCCTGTCCCTCTGTCAGGTTCGGCATTATTGGACACATGCAAGATTGGTAACTAAATAATAAATAAAGCAGTTTGGGGTAATCAAGGGGGGCTTCTCACTAACAAAGCCTCCCTTGGCAAAGCTATTTTGTTCAGAAGAGCACAATACTCATATTTAAGTTCTGCTGTCATAATGCTGAACAGGACGAGGTTAAAAAAACAAAAAAAACAAGTCTCCTCTCTATTTTAAAATGCAAGAACGAAAGAAGGTGAAACGGAAAATCACGACCCTACAGAGAGGCCGTGAACGCACCGTCAGAGGCGTCCTCCGTGTAGACGGTGAACTTGGCGGTCTTGTTGGCCACGCCGTAGCTGAGGCCGGGGCCGTAGGCCGTCACGTTCGGGCTGCTGACGTGGTTCACGTAGAACTGGAGGGGAGACTCTGTAAAAAAACAAAAAAAAACAAAAAAAGCATAATCAGCACAGCAAAAATAAAAGCAGCTCTCGGTCACTTCCTGTTGCTTTCGGCTAAAGCCAGAGTCCTGCACAGTTTTTGGGAAAATCATGTGCAATGGAAAGCCAACTATAGTTCAAATTAAAACCACTACAACTACAAAACCGAAAGATGGGAAGAACTAGGAGGAGGCATCAATCAATGTGCAATTTGGGTAGTTTAATATTAATATAATCAGTAGAATTGATGAGCATTGGTCCCCCCCCAAAAAAACAAAAATTCCAACATCTGTTACTTGAAAATTCAAATTAGATATGTCTGTTGCTTTGCAAGTCAGGTTAACGGAGAGCAAATATGAGTAAAATAAAGGAAACTGTTGAACAAAAGGACTCGCCTGATTGGCTTAAAATCAGCCACAACCGCTTCCAATTGGACATTTCTTCCTCCTGTTCAAAACTTGCTCTATTGCCTTGTATTCCCTGTATTTTTTTACCCCATTTACGATGCAACTTCTGACCGAAGTATAAAAATCTTTTCTGCTGTAGCTTTTTAATAAACTTGTTTCCTAAACAATACATATTGCATGCTTATTTTTATATATCTTACGTTATATCATACGTTAGACCTCATTTACTTAAAAGCCTTTTTTTTTTTAGAGAAACGAAAAGAAAACAAAAAGAAATATTGGATCATTTTCATTATAGTTGCGACTGGAGGAACATATTAAGGTAAATGATCACAGAAGTGCTTTGAAATAAATACCTCTTTCTTTCAAAACAGCAAAACGAGAACAGTGTGGAGACGACTTTGTTTCAGGAAATTGCACCGAGGAAAATTGAAAACTTGAGCATTAACACACACACAACTCTATATTCGGTTGTTGTGAATTGGTCTAAATATTGGTAGATTTTCCAGGTTCCACTAAGAACCCATCTGGCCACCCAAAGGCTGACAATGTGTGTGTGTGTGTGTGTGTGTGTGTGCGCGTGTGTGTGTAATGGCTCACAGGCAGTTTCCAGTGGCTGAAACGGGTTTAATCTCTAACAGGCAAACAGAACAACATATTTAAAGCCTGGTTTGAATTCCTTATTTGGCCTTTTAACAAAAATATTTAAAAAGAAAAATAAAATTTTAATATTAATAATTTATTACTGTGCAACAAGTAAAGCTTGTTTTTTGTGTAGTCTTCTGCCTCCTGTTATCAGGTGTATCTGATTGTGTACAATAGGATTTTGAGCAAAGTTTTTACGATTAAATTACGCAAAAGGTGTCAGACGCAAAACATTTCAGAATACGAATGTATCAAATATGATACATTTGGCATTACGGGATTAAGCCTAGAAGAGTTTTATCAGGCTGAGACGTCCAACAAAGCACAAACATTTTGTCTAAAATATCCCCAAAAAACAAACAAAACCAGTCCCCATCACACAAACGAGCCCGTTTTCCATCCGTTTGTGTCGCGGTTCCCCGCCTGGACACCAGGAGGTGCCGTTTCACCGTTGCCATGGTGATGAATGGGCGGGGCGGACTTACCCGGGATGTGCGTGCCGTTGTACTTGATGTGCATCTCGTGCAGGCCGGCCTCGGTGGGCGAGTACTGCACCGTCACCGTGCCGTCCAGGTTGTCCGAGATCAGCGGCTGGGCCGATTTACCTGAAGGCATCAGCACCTCGCCTGGAAAACAGGGCATGCTGCCTTCAATAGCTGTCCCATAATCAGATATTCCGGCGTCCGCCCGGACGTTGAGGCTGGGCCTCTGATATTGGAAGGCGGGGACTCTAAGCCCTAAAGTGAATGTGGACTGTGGTGTCTGGCCCTTTTGCAAACACAACCTCACTATTTTACATCCTAGCACCTACTTGGGAGGCATTTAGGTTGAGAAAGAAAAAAAAAAAAAAAACATCATCCACCCTCTGGGCTAAGAGTCACCACTAACAATGTGGCCGAAAGCCCAGATAATCGGTGTACAGCAGAACCGCTACTTACGATCACCTAAATATGCGATTTTTTCAACATCTGAAGTGAAATTTGATTCAATATTCGACTCGACACCCAAAGTAAATTTCCACATCGAAGTCATAGAAAAATATATACATCCATCCATTTATTATTGTAACCGCTTATTCCCTAATGGGTTGGCGGGGGTAACTGAAGCCCAATGGGCGATAGGCAGAGTCAACCTGGACAGTACATCACAGGGGCACACAGAGACACACAAGGACCAACAACCATGCACACTCACAAAAATATAAAAGAAAAAAGAAATAAAGCTAAGTTAGTTTAATGTTCACTCAGTGAAAGTTGGAGTAAGTTAGGGTACGTCCTGTATCTCAGTCTCAACCTCTACCTCCTTTCACCAATAAGTGCCAATAAAACCCCTTTTATTGATTATTTCTTTATAATTTATTTCTTCTTACAGCTCTCTTATATAATGCATTTGTTTTATTGCTATGTGTAATTATCTGAAGTATTTATTAAGGAGTTATCGTAGGTTTTTGGGCTGTGGAACGAATTATGCAGACTAAAGTGTATTCTAATGGCAATATTTGTACCAACATACAAATATATTACCAAACTAAGTAGATCCTGGAATGAGTTAAATTCGTATGTAGAGGTTCTACTGTAATTCTGCTCAGCAGGGATACTGTCATGCCTGATCAGGGTGTAAACCACTTTGTAGCACACAGACAGAATCAATACTACCCAGAACCAATAAGAAGAATTAACACTTTTCAGCCTCCTGAATCGGACCACATCCTGCCGGTGCCTTACCGGTGATTTCTCCCTTCCGGAAGGAGAAGGGGATCACCATGTCGAACGGTCTGAAGCCGCTGCCGTTCACGCTGCCGCCGACGGCCTTGAAGTTTTCCGACGTCACCTGAAGCAGACACAGACACAGAGAGGGGCGGGGTTTAGCTTAGAAAAGGCTCTTCTACGTGCCACATCCAAGCCCCGCCCACTTAACGGCCTCCTGGAGGGGATAGAGCAACGCAGCAGGAAGGAGGAAGAGCATGATGATGATGATGATGATGATGCAGCCACAGTGATGAAGAGTGCACCGAGGAAGAGAAAGAGGCAAACGCACCGGAATAAGTGAGTCAAAAAAGGTAAAACCCTTGGGAATTAAAGTCACCCAAAAATGAATAATAAATCAGGCAATGCAGATGTGTGAAACAGCTGGAGCTGCCGTGGTGATGTTAGAGGTTTTTCTGCGATCCCATTGGCTGAGACGGAGAAAAGCAATGGCATGGAGGAAAAGAGAGAATCAACTTTAGAAGAGAAGTTAGAGGTTCAACCTGCAGCCATTCACCTGAAACAGAGAGTGTGTGTGTGTGTGTCTGTGTGTGTGTGT